ACAAATGATTGACCAAAATCCTACCCACAAATTTTAAGGCAGCAAAACCTAGTTTCAGGCACGCATGGGGGTGCGCTGATCGTATTTTGCGCCCTGATCGTATTTTGCGCCCTCGTGGTCAAAGTGGCGTGAAATTTATTGTAAGAATAAGCGAAAATTATACCCTGTGCCATGCAAATTTAGATACAACTATTAAAGGTTTATGTTTTATAATATTTCATAGCAGTTTAATACTATAATGTTATTAAATGACTATGATTATATGCCATTAAAAGTTTAATTAACGTTTACAGTCGATTTCACGAAACTTTGACCACAAATTTTCCGAACTAAGATTGTTGCGAAGTTCAAAAGTTCATAATGAGATTCACAAACCAGTTCGTAAACTACGCATTTGATTGGCTTCTTTTACTTCACGGACCAATCAGGGACTTTGTTTACAAATTGGCTTGTGAATTCCAATATGTGCTTCCGAACTTCGCAACGAACTTGCGAACTTTGCAACGAACTTGCGAACTTCGCAACGAACTTGCGAACTTTGCAACGAAGTTCGGAACATTTGTGGTCAAAGTTTCGTGAAATCGACTGTAAAATCGTCCCCGGGGTGGGGCATTTTCCACTCTCAGCTGGCCCAGGGGCTGTGCATTAGTCTTTAAGTTGTGTCCCGGCACCCGGGCATTTACACTATCATAACCAATCAAATCAAATGCCCGGGTGTGTTCCGGGGGGGGGGATGGTTACTCCTGGAATTGACTCATGCATAAGGGACCGGTCATAAAGTAAAAGGGGGGTGGGCTGGGAAAAATAGGGGGTGGGTCACTATTTTTTAGCACGGTTGAAGGGGTGGGTCATCGAAAGTTAGGTGCAATCATAAGGGTGGGCCATGTAAAAATATGCAGAAGATTGGGCCCCAGTCATTTTTTTTGTGTTAAAAAATTTCCGCGCAAAGAACAAGATATCTGTTTTTTTGGGCTAAGTACCGAAATTTGGTATGAAAAATTAAGATAAAGTCCTTGGAAAGCAATTGCAAAGTACTCGTCCGGAAAAATTTTTTACCTAAAAAAGTTGTCGACAGGGAGGAGGTTCTTGTCCGAAAAAAAAATTTTCCGGAAAAAATTGGAAAAGGGGTGGGTCATAATGTTTCAGCACCAATTTGAGGGTGGGCTACAAATTTCCGTGCAGCTATTAAGGGGTGGGCTACCAAAAGTGCAGACACCAAATATATGATTTTCCCAGCCCACCCCCCCTTTTACTTTATGACCGGTCCCTAAACAACAATAAGGACCACTGATCAGATCTTGAGATTTTGGGGATCTCGCTTGATAGAACCAACAGTTGAATGGATTTTGTAGATGGGAATTTCAAGTGGAAGGTTATGTGCCAATAGAAGCAACGATTTGTTTTACTGATATATCGAATTTTACATCCAGGACAAGTAAATTTGTCCTGTATAACATACATGTATCGGTCAAATATGAGCAACGATATAGATCACTATTGCTGTACAGGCTTTGGGCTGGGAGCCACTTCAGTCGATAAGAGAAAAGGAAAAAGCAAAACTAATGTACAAAATTTTGAATAAACTGGGTCCTGAGTCACTCACAAACCTTTTCACCTATAAAAGTGGGATGACAAATTACAAACTTCGGGACATTTCCAGTGGTCTTTGTTTACCACAACCTCGAACAAATATTTATGCATCAGTCAATTCTAGCATTGCCCATCCCCCCCCCCCGGGCAACCCCCCGGGCAAAAAAAGAGTGCAAATTCCCGGGGGCGGGGAATTGTTTACCAGCTGGGCATTTGACTCGACCGGACGTTTCTGCGACAAACACATGCTATTATATTAAATTGGCGTCGAAGAATTCAGGCGTAAAAACGAGGATTTTGTCGATATTTTCATTCACAAAACGTCACACCAATCGCACATGAGAAACTAATTAAAGTTGTGTTTAACTATCTAGCATAAAAACACTAGAATTCATAGTACAATCCTTGTTTATCTTGCTACGTGATTGTATATTAACCACTGAACCGATGAGCACGTTTTTCATGTTCAAAAGTTGGGATGACTGCTGTAGCTTTTATACAAGGAAGCTAATAATGTTATGGAAGTTTTGAGGTCTAAAATACATTCTATAAATGAGTCGGTGTGCCCTGGGGCCGGGCATTTGTCATCTTTATTTTGCCCGGGGGCAGGGCATTGCCATGCTTTTTCTGCCCGACCCCCGGGAATTGTCAACTTAAAGAAAAAAAAGTGCAAATGCCAGGGGGGGGGGGATGGGCAATGCTAGAATTGACTGATGCATAACATGAAAAATAGTTTCATGTATAACGGTGCTCACTTATAGAACTCTATTCCAAATTAAATTAGGGAAAGCAAATCCCTGTCATGTTTTCAAAATAAAATTGCTACTCACATTCTTGAAAATATTGAAAATCATCACCCTCTCGTAACTGTAAATACTGTTGAGTGTTATATAATTAGTTATATAGAGTTATTGATATGATGATCATGTACTATTGTCTGCCAAACTATTAATATTATATGTAAATATAAGAAAAGTTACTTCATTACCCCAAATGCATGCGTGTCCAAAGGGAGCCTAAATTTAAATAAGCCTGCTGGTTTCATTTTAGGCTTCCTTGTTGCTAATATATTAATCGTGATTTCAATGTTTATATATTTATTATTTTTGTGTAGTTAAGTTAAATTAATGTATTTAGCAACAAATCAAATCCATTAAACCATTAAACCATTAACTAAAACAAGATCCTAAGAAACTGAAAACCTAAAAAACTTGTAAATATATATATATGACTTACTTGTAGTTTATATAACTTAGTTGATATTATACATTGTAAATAGCTTTAAATACTATATTTTTGTAATTCCTTTTTACATGCCCCCTGTGGAAATCAGCCTCGGTTGACAGGATTAGCGTGGATAAATAAAGTTTGTCTATCTTCTAAATGGATTGCTCCTTCTACACCAGAATCAAAAGAAATCTGAAATCTTCAATCACATTGTGATAGACATTGTGCGAACATTTTCAACATATCAAATCTATTTTAGAACTATATTCTGACTATTTTAGAACTATATTAATCTCTTCTATATGTCTTGTAAATATCGTTGTAATGTAACCCAGCATCATTCCTGATGATGACTAAAACATAGTCAAAAGCTAGAATATATTAATTTCCTTTTTAGAGTTACCGTTGTTTTGCAAAAATACTAAATGGTTCTCGTTTATCAGGTATGTGCAAAGCTGGTTTCGCCGGCAACGATGCACCAACAGTTGTTTTTCCCTCCATCGTTGGTCATCCTCGAGGTGTGATGAGCGAGAAAGATACATATGTTGGCGACGAAGCCCAAAGCAAAAGAGGTATCCTTACCTTGAAATACCCCATCCAACATGGCATCATCACAAACTGGGATGATATGGAAAAGGTAAGGTTTTTATGCTTCGTTTTATGTTGTCGTTTTCGCTTTGGCTTGTGGTTAGCGCCCATTCTTCTATTTGTTTTAGATCTGGCATCACACATTTTACAACGAACTCCGAGTAGCACCAGAAGAACACCCCATCCTCCTTACAGATGCTACCTTAAACACCTTCAACTCAAAACCCCAACGAGAAAAAATGACACAGGTTTACACGTTTAATAGCCATATTTGTACTTTTGTAGATTTATGATAAAATTGCTTCACAGCTGTCTAGTTACTTCTGATGTTAAGTATTTTATGAGACAAGAATATACTTACTTTTAATTTAATATGCCCTGGAAAGATGTGGCACAGAGCTTTCAAAATAAGCAGCCGGCGGTTACTTTTTTCCGTTCTTGAAACATCAATTCTGTTCTCTTTCCTCCAATGTAAGCTTTCAAACAAAGTTATTTTTCCTTAAGCAGGTCTACTTTATAGCCTGGTCATTTGAGAAAACGACATACTATTTCGTAAAACTGATTTAGTTATTTGCCATGTTGAATCATGAAGTCTTCTTGTTGAAGAATGAAAGTAGTGATACATTATAACTTGCTACAGAGCTCAGTTGTGTTGCTATCTAATCAATATACACTGATTAATTTGGATGACTTTAAGACTCCCTAGTCGTGCCCTTCCCTGCAGCCGCCTACTTTATCAACACAGCCACCTGGCACCTACCCAGAATAGTTCTGAAAGCCCTGGGCACTGTAAACAGTTCCATTTTTTAATTAGATAATTTCAATTCTAAAATGGTGACTATTTGACAAAGAATTGATTATATTTTTATATTTTACAGGTCATGTTTGAGACCTTCAACACCCCAGCTATGTATGTAGCCTTTGGGGCTGTGTTGTCTCTGTATGCTTCTGGTCGTACCACAGGATTTGTGTTCGACAGTGGTGATGGTGTCTCCTACACTGTACCAATCTATGAAGGTTATGCCTTGCCTCATGCCATCCATCGTCTTGATTTGGCTGGCCGTGATCTTACCGACTACCTGATGAAAATCTTGAGCGAGAGAGGTTACTCATTCACCACAACCGCTGAACGAGAGATCATCCGTGACATCAAAGAGAAGCTGTGCTATGTCGCTCACACAACCCATGAATGGGAAATTCTCAATGATTTCGGATTGAAGCTGTCGTATGCCAATCAAGGTATTTACCAAGAAAAGGAAACAGCAACAACCAGTTCTAGCTTGGAGAAGGCGTACGAGCTTCCTGACGGTCAAGTTATCACCATTGGTAACGAGCGATTCATATGCCCAGAACCACTCTTCCAACCATTTTTCCTCGGATTGGAATGTTACGGTATCCATGAAACCTGCCATATGTCCATCATGGAATGCGATGTCGACATCAGGAAAGATCTGTATGCTAACATCGTGTTGTCTGGTGGTTCTACCATGTTCCCTGGTTTTGCCGACAGAATGCAAAAAGAAATCACTGCTCTCGCTCCACCCACAATGAAAATCAAGGTGATTGCTCCTCCAGAAAGAAAATACTCTGCCTGGATTGGTGGCTCCATCTTGGCTTCCCTCTCGACCTTCCAACAAATGAGTATCTCCATGCAAGAATATGATGAAACTGGTACATCTATCGTTCACCAAAAATGCTTCTAAGTTTAGTGACTTTCTAATCATGATAACATTTAACGAACTGCGGTTGTAAAATTTAAGATAATCTTGTTCCAAACAATGAACCAAATTGTTTATATTTTTGGAGAAGAGTGCCTTGGAGGTGTGACTGTCTGTACAGTTCAACAGTGACAGAATTAGATTATACAAAACTTTGAAAATTCAATTTATAATTAACTAAAAAATACATTTCTTTTCTAAAACTGTTGTTGGCTTTTCTAGATTATGTTATATTATGTTGGACACTTGCCTTGCAATTTTACTTGCAATTTTAATGCTTATGTTTCTTTCAAAATTGTGAGGAACAATATTTTTGTTGGGTGTTTGTTATTAAATTAGAATTTCTACAAATTATACAGCGTTCTCCAGATTATAATTATATATATATATATATGTATATGTATATATATGTATATGTATATATATATATATATATGTATATGTATATGTGTATATATATATATATATATATATATATATATATATATATATATATATATATATATATATATATATATATATATATATATATGCTGTACATATATATATATATATATATATATATATACATATATATATGTTGAGTTATGTAATTGTATACTCCGTAATATGTTAAGGTGAAAATGTTCTCGAGTGTGTATTATATAATTTCCATACCCAGCGTAAGCAGAAAGATAAAGTCTGCCGCGGCTGGGTCTTGAACCCGCGACCTTCGAATTACTAGATCGACGCTCTACCAACTGAGCTACACGGTCAGACGGATTTAAGACTGGAAATTATGAAATATATACATACACATACACACTCTAGAACATTTTCATCTTAACATATTACGGAGTGTACAATTACACAACTACATATATATATATATATATATATATATATATATATATATATATATATATATATATATATATATATATATATATATATATATATATATATATTTGTATGGTAAATCACTTATATTCATATTATGCATAATTAGCAAAATTGGGAGGGTATAAATTGGGTTCGCCTGTAAAGTAGGATTGCATTTGATGAAGACAATAAAGTCGAAACGTTACGTTATGTGTTGATTAATTTATATACCTTTATGGCTTTTCGCCTAGTGATTAATCTATATATATATATATATATATATATATATATATATATATATATATATATATATATATATATATATATATATATATATATACGACAATGACCAAAACTTGCCTTAGCCAACAGCACATAATATTACGACAAAGAGATGGCTACGTATCGAAGAATTTATTAAAGATGACTAAAGTAAAGTATACAAATAATAAATATTCGGCCACTTGACACGGCCTTCCTCAGAATAAAAACTAAGTTACAGCACATGGCATTTATACTATTTAGCATGCTAAGTAATTAACCTAATCCTATTGTTGTACAAAATCATGCGTAGAGTTAAGTCCTCTTCGATTAGTCAATAGCATACCAATCCAAAAATTTTCACATTCCCTTAGGTTGCCCTGGCGCCGATCAATTAGCATGAATTTCAACAATGAATAATCAGCACCATGACAATCCAGAAAATGGTTAACAATACCACAGGTTCTCTTATTACGTTTGATGTGAGACTTGTAATTAGCGAGTCGGGTCTTAAAATTGATAGTAGAACCGACTCCTTGCAAATTGCAAGTAACACAACTAGCAAGATAAACAACATTATCAGAGGTGCAAGTAAGATCTTTACCAATCTGAAATACTCTTTTAGAAACTGTGGAACTAAAGGTGGAACCTTCTTCTAAAAAGTTTTTACAACAGTCACATCGCTTGGCTTTACACCTAAAACAGCCTGTAGTTTCCCTATACGACCGGCTTTTAATTTTAAATGGATTAGAGGGGGCCAACAATTCTTTTAAGTTGGCATTACGTTTATATGCCACACAAATGGCTCCCTCTGGTAAAACCTCAATGGCCTTTTTATCGTTACAAATAATTTCTCTATGATGTTTTTTTAAGATCTTACGGATATCTGGTCCTCTGGGATTGTATTTGGTCGAAAAAATACATAAATTCCTATTATCTTTTTCTTTTTTTTTT